TTCATCTTCATTGCATTTATACATCAAATTTATGAGATATAAATATGTTTATGTTATTTAATATATAACAATAAACAATAAAAAGTATATTTAAAATAAATTTTTTATATATTTTCTTATATATTATATTTTATAATAATAAATTATTGATAATTATAATGCAACATTATTCATATAATAAATATATTCATATTTCATATTAATTTTTAAATTTATTTCATATTTCATTTATAAATTTCATATTATATTATTCATATAATAAATATATTCTTATTTAATAAATAAAAATAATATAATTTAAATTAAAAAATATATAAATCCTAATTCTTTATTTTTTATTATTTATGAAATCCTCATTATCACATTATTTAAATTAATAATAATAATATTACATTAAAAACAAAATATAATAATGCTAAATGATAAATAATTATAATAAAAATTAATATTTATGAAATTTGATAAATCAATGTATCAAGTCTCATATTTCTTTAAAATTTCATAAGAATTTAAAAAAAATATAAATAAATTTAAATAAAAAATATAAATAAATATAAATAATGAATCTTTTGAAAATCATTAATATTTTCAAAAATAAATTTTTTTATAAAATTAATATATTTATTTTATTTAATTTCAGTTTAAAAATATTTAATTCTTAATAATATAATTCTTAATATAAAAAACATTTTTATGCTTATATAATAATATTTCATACCTGCTATTGTAACAGCTGTGTTCTCATTATCAATTGCATCTGCCAATACAGATTTATTTGCAGCTTTACATACTTTTAAATGTTTATTTATTCGACTTTGGGCTTTATGATCTCGCAATGCTAATAAATTCTAAATAATAAAACAATAATATTATAAATTTATACAATAAATAAATAAACATATATTATAAATATATAACTTGAATAAAAGTTTAATACCTCTCTTTTTTTTTTTTCTTCTAATGCTTTCTGTCTTTCTTCTTCTTCCTTACGAGCTAAAAATTTTTTTATATTTTCGGAAAGTGATTTGCTTTGTTTCGTTGGTTTTTTAGGTGGAGAGAATTTTGTTTGGTAACAAGCAATCGGCTAAAAAAAAAACAAAATATAATTTTATTAAAAATAAATGATTTTATAAATAAAGAAACATTCAAAAAAAAATATAATAACCTGCTTGTTATTTTCATTTTTTTGTGCCACACTTAGCAAAGTACCAAAATCCATTTTAATAGTAAAAACAAAGAATATAATAAATTATAGATATTTTTCATGACATATTTATCATATTTGCACATTAAATTCACATTTTAACATTTCATCATAATTATTTAAACATTATTATGTGCGAGTTCGTTCTATAAATTATCAATTAAGTTGGACGACAAAATTTACAACTGATCATATAAATACTTTCGAACGCTTACTAGAAACAAAGGTCTTCGAAATAAGAACGAACTAAATGTTTGCAAGATATTGTCACAAACAAATTAAAGGATAGATCTACCACCGTATGAAATTTTATATTTCATGTTCTGGATAGAGTTACTAGAAATCAGGATAAAGTAGGCAGCGACATCAAAGAATAATAACATAAGAAAACGTTCGCATAGAACGATACATCATCAGATTTTCATTTGTTAGATTACTAAATGACCGAGCAATGCAAGCAATGCATCGCGTCATATGTCAGAATATTTTGTGAGGTCGTTATTTTTCTTATTTCTTATAAAAATAAAAATATAATATATCTTATATAGATATACAATATCTATATCTTATTAAATAGTGAAACACATAGTTGTTTTGAAAGAAAAAAATAATCAAAGTGTATTTAATTCGTTTATCAGATAAAGAAAGTAAATAGCAAAAGAATAAAAATAGGTTAAAAATTGTAGAATCAATGCCATCTTCAGTGTAGCAAATGAATATAAGTAAGAAAAGCAAATAGTAAAAGAAAGATAAATATATTAAAAATTGACAGTATCATCTCTTAAGTGCCAAAAATATCTTTCTAAAAATACTTAAAAGAAATGATCCCTTTTATTATTTGATTTATTTGATTTTATCTTGATTTTGGAGAGATATTTTTAGATGTTTTTGGCATTCAAAAGATGGTACTGATGGTCAATTCTAATTTTACTATCTTTATCCTACTATTTGCTTCCACATTAGTTTCATCTGCGACACTCCATACATGGCGCTAATTTTCATATTTTTATTCTCTTTTTTTCCTATTTTCTCATCATTTATTTGTTTGTTATTTATTTGTTCTGCAAAATTTTTACTCAATTTTGTTTATATATGATCTCAGTTTAATTTAACCGCTTTAAGACAATATATATGTATCATATATGTACAATAAATTAAGTTAAAATCAATCAAATGATATCATGCATAGCCGGCAGTTTATGACATTTATATTAAAAATATAGTTTAAATCTAAAATTATTACAAACTTAATTTAAATTTAATGAACTTTTGATTTTATTTCTGTGTTTACAAAAAAAACGATTACTGATTCATTTAAGTGTATCAAATCAATATTGATATTATAATATCTTTTTTTATATGTTTTTATAAATTATTAATTTCTTGACATTTTTATTCTCAATTTCTTTTTTAAAATTCTTTTAATTTTTTTCAAGTTCATTTGATCGCTCATTTTTTAAATTGTTATTTTATGTATACATCGCAACGAAAGATTTAAAAACTCTTTAAAATCAATGATGAAGCAGTTTTTCGAAAACTTTTTCACTTTTTTATACATATATAAATAGTGCTGAATTTTTTTAAATCTGTGTCTGAAATATATTGCGTATATATCATACCATTAATTGTATGAATTTTATCAATATGTGTACTTTAATAGAAAGAAATTCAAAAACACAGGTATATATAAATATTATATATATTAAACTATTAAAATAATAATTTATATTGAATATTTATTTTTATTATTACAAAAATGTTTTTAATTTTTTATTTGCAATAGATAAATATTTGAAAATTATGTGTAATAATCGTTCCTTTCAAATATAATAGTTATTCTTAATTGTATGGTGAATGAAATTAACTAATTAAATAATTTTTATATGCTTTAGGAAAGTGGCATATGTCAAATAATATTTGAAATGTCAACCAGAATTTTAAAACATTTTTTGAAATGTTCGTTTATCCAATTTCATGTAATATTTGACATATTAATAGATTTAATTTTTGGATTATATTATAAAAATGATATACAAAAAGTTCCTCCAATCAAGAATAACTTAGTACTAATGAGTGCATCAGAATTGGCTGAAAAAATCAGGTATTTAATAAATTTCACTTTTGATATTATATTTATATATAATATCAATTATTTAATATTATTTATTCAATATATTGAAAATTAATTGTATGAAATATAAAGTACAAAATATTCAATTTCTGATTCAAAATATTTTTTATTAAATTTATGAAAATAAAAATATGCAACTAATTAGAATCTTTTTGAATACTTTACATATATACTTTATATAATTTTTGATTAATGATCATTTGATTATTTATTTGATAGTTATAAATGTGCTTAAAAAGATATAAATGTTTATTTACTTATTAAAAAATATTTCATTTTTTTAATCTTATAATTAAATATATCAATTTAACAAATTAATTAATTTAATAAAATCAATTTAAAAGATAAATAAATACAATAAAATCTTAATACAATAAAAACAAATAAATCAATTTAAATGAAGATTAGATAAGATAAAATAAATCAGTTCAAAATTTAATTTAATTGTTAATTTAAGTAATTTAATGTAAGTAATTTAATTGTTATATATATTTAATTAAAAGAACTAATAATTATATTTAATTAAAAGAACTTTGTTGCAAATCTAATATAGATATTAAAGCTAATTAAATTTTAAATTTTTTAATATAAATTTAATATAAAATTAAATTTATTATATAAATGGTTTTATAGAACAAAAAAAATATCATCATTAGAAGTTGTAACGGCATTTATAGAAAGAGCAAAGGAAGTAAATGAAATAATAAATGCAGTTGTTGAAGATAGATATTCTGATGCTTTAGAAGAAGCTAAAGAAATAGACAAACTTTTACAAACATTAGAAAATACTGATTTAATAAAAGAAAAAAAACCATTTTTGGGTGTCCCTTTTACGACAAAAGAAAGCAATGAAGCAAAAGGTAATTTAAATATATTGATAGTTATATCAATATATATTATGAAAAAAACCTAAAAATTTGAAAAGAATTTTTAATTATATTTTTTATTAGATTTTAAATGAGTTATTTATTATTGAATATTGTATTTATTTTTTAATTATTTAGGTATGCTTCATACAATGGGTTTAATAAGTAGACGTAATTTTCGTTCTCAAGAAGATGCAACAGCAATACATCTTATAAAAGATGTTGGTGGAATTTTAATAGCAAAAACAAATATTCCTGAATTAAATTTATGGACTGAATCAAGAAACAATTTATATGGACAAACATGTAATCCATATGATACCACTAGAAATGTTGGTGGAAGTAGTGGTGGAGAAGCAGCAATTACTGCTGCTTGTGGAACTGCATTTTCTGTTGCCAGTGATATTGGTGGTTCTATTAGAATGCCAGCTTTCTTCAATGGAGTATTTGGATTTAAACCAACTGCAGGTTTTTATATTTTATTAACTTACAAATTTCAGATATTACTATGAGATGTTTTCAAAATTATGATATAATTAGAAAAAAAATAATTTAAAAATATAATATAAAATAATATAGAAATATTAACCCTTTGCACTCGTATATATATTCGATAAGGATACCAATCAACTCGGAATTTTTTCGAAAGGCTACTACCCATCAACTCGGAATTTTTTTTCATATCAATCAATCAAAAGGAAAATATTTTTATGCGAACATAACATAAATTAAAATTTCCGGTTTAGTAGAAAAAATTAGCAAATAAACATATTTAATCTGCATCTCACACTTTTGAAATATGAAAATCTATATAATATGTGTATATACTTTTTGATTTTTCAAAATTAAAAAAATAAATAAACCTACTTTTATATTGGAAAGAACACATAGGACACACAGGAATACCAAAAGCTACAATAATGCTGTACTACATAAAATATGAAGGTTCATTATTTTTTTTATTACCAATCTTAATGATATGAAAAATAAAAAAAGACTAAAAAAGTAAAAATGATACAAGTTGTGTAGAAAAAAATTACATTTTATAGTTTTTCATTGTATGGTAACGTTCAAAACAATCCCCAATATGTAATCCTGGTTTCAGAGTACATGTATTGCAAATATATCTTGTTTCATGTCTCCCACCTTTGACTTTTCGGTTAGAACAAACTAAACAGTCCTTTTTCTTTCCCTCATTTTGACGCAAAATGTGCAATTTGCCGTTTAATCGTTCTTCTTTGTCTGACGTTGATGGTCTACCTGGAATTTTTGAATCTTGTCGGTAGTTTGCTGTCAACCCATCTACAAGTTCTCGAACAAACTTCAAATGCGTCATTGGTTGTTTATTTTGGCGATGTTGAGTTATTTTGTATAGCAAATATGCATTTACACTACATAATTCAAGTCCCCAAAAAAATAATTTCCGCCACCATTTCAATGATTTTCTCAAGAAACAATATGGCGCTGAATAGGAGTCGGCTCGATCTACGCCTCCCATATATTTATTGTAATTAATAATTACAATTGGCTTATCTATAACTTGGATATTTCCTCCACGTACTCTTCTATTTATTGGTTGAGTACCTGAAACGTCCCAGCTGCTAAGTATAGTGATGATACGTTTATCTTTCCATGCCAACAATAGCAAATTTTCTGATCTGCAGGCAAATGTATTGTTTTGAGAAAACTTAGGTTTTTTTATTGAATAAGGAATAAACTTTCTATTATTTTGTATAGTTCCTGTTGTGTATATATTTAGCTTTAGCAATTCTTGTGCAAGTGGTAGGCTTGTGTAGTACCTATCTGTATAAATATGGTATCCCTTACTGCCAGGATTGCTATCTAATAAGTCTTGGCACAATTTAAGTACGATTCTTGTACTTATGAGAAGATCAGGCCGTGGTAAATCTTCCGAAGTCAAGCTTCCATAATAGGGAAAAATTGAATATACATACCCTGTATTGGCATCTGCCAGTACATATATTCTTATTCCCCACTTGGTAGGTTTATTTGGATTATATTTCAGGAAACATATTTTGCTTTTGAATCCCACCACTGGCTCATCAACTGAGATTTCTCTTGACGGAACAAAATGTTCTTTGAATTTTTTATCTAAAAGTTCTAAATAATGGCTAACTTTCTGTGTTCGGGCTCTAAGACTTTGGTCGTTTGGATTATTTTTATATAAGTGAAGCATCCAAAATATTTGCATAAATCTTTCTCTTCTAAATATACTACCAAAGAAAGGAATTTTTGAATTGAAATTTTGGGACCAATATTCTTGCAGATTACTAACAGTAATTGTGCCCATATTTAGAATAACTCCAAGAAATGCCATAATTTCTTCTATGGTAACATCAACCCACGTATGCCACGTAGACCGTTTGGACAATATTTTTTTAGCAATTTTATTTCGAGCATAATTATTTGTCTCTTCAACTATTTTTTCGATAAGTTCATCAGAAAAAAAAAGTTTAAAAAAATCTGTAGGTTTTGTGCAGTTATCTGGAATTTGTGGCCCTTCAGTTTTATCGCCGGAAGTGAAATTGATCCTGTATGGCACATTGTCCTGAAGAGTGACGTCCACCCAATGCCCATAATTGTCTCTCCTTTCAGTGGTATACTCATCTTCACTGCTGCTTGAACTCGTTGGTAAAGGAACTGTTCTTCTTTTTTTATTGACTATGATATCACTATCAGTGCTAATATCAATTTCCTCTTCTTCTTCTTCAAAACTGTCTCTGTCGCTATTAACACAGGAATTTATTTCTTCATGGTCATACGAGTCCAAATAAAATTCGTCATCACTACTTTCCAATTCATTTATAATTTCTTTTTGTAAATGTCGTTTGGACATTTTCTATATTGTAAAAAATTTCAAATTATAACACAGATATAAATTAGACATATACTGGAGTATTTACCGCGTGGCGTTCTCTACAAAAGTAATGAAATATTGAAAATTTGTAAATGAGATATATATATATATTATTATTATTAATTATTTATTAAATTGATTATTTATTTTTAAATACTCGTATTACGATAATAAATATGATTAGATAATACAAAACATTTTATTTAAGGACATCATATTTCTTGAAAACATGATTTTAATTAATTATAAATAAATTTAATTAAATGAATATTATGTAATATTATCTGGCTATAATTTGACCCCAAATAATGTAAGATGTCGCCTATATGGCGACAGATGAGTGCAACGGTAAAATATATAATGTCGCCTATATGGCGACATACGAGTGCAATGGTAAAATATATAATGTCGCCTATATGGCGACATATGAGTGCAACGGTAAAATATATAATGTCGCCTATATGGTGACATACGAGTGTAAAGGGTTAAATGAGTTAGAAAATTGCATAAAATACAATTTTTTTGCAATAGAATTCTGTTTTTAAGAAAATTGAATTTGAAAATTTATTCAAACTTTTAGGTAAAATTTATTTTATTTACTCTTAATGTAATTAAATCATTTTTAATTGTTTATATTTAATTATTTCTAGTTATATTTAATAATTTTATAATGCAAGATTTTAAAACATTTCAAAGATGTTATATTTATAATAAACAAAATATTATTCAAATTCTCATAATTCTTTGAAATTTCGAGATTTCTTAAATCTTAATATTATTCAAAATTTCGATATTTTCAAATTGCAAGATACTCTCTGAAATTACATGTAACATTCTTGTTTTCCTGAACATCTCTGATAACAACTTTATATAAATTAATAATATAATGATTAATCATTACTAATTTAAATTACTAAAAATAATTTAATTAATTTTAGGTTTAACACCATTAAAAGGTATTGGACTTCGACAAGAAGATTATCCTAATTCAATGGCAGAAGTAGGTCCAATATGTAAGAAAGCAGAAGATTTAATACCTCTTTTAAAAGTTTTAATTCAAGATAAAATATCATTACTTAATCTTAATGCAGAAGTAGATATAACACAACTTAATATTTTTTACCAAGAAAATTCAGGTGATATAAGAGCAAGTAAAATAAATTATGAAATGAGAACAGCTCTATTAAAAGTTGTGCAACATTTTAAAGAAGTTAATGGATCTATAACAAAAGTAAGTTTATTATATATTATAAAAGTTGTATTATTTCATCAGCATTTGTGATATATATGTGATATAATTTATTGATTTATAATCATTCATTTTAATTATAATTTCATTTATTTTCATACATACATAAATTTATAGTATTTATTATATCATATATTTACATCATATATTTATTATATTATATTTCATATATTACTTTATATTTCATATATTACTTTATGTTTTTTGATTTTAAACAATTTTAATGATATATTTGCATTACAGATAAAAATACCTGGTTCTGAATATAGTTATCGGTTGTGGAGATTTTGGATGACACAAGAAAATATGGATTTCAAATTAAATATAACAAATAGAAAGGTATAAATTTATATATATAAATTTATTATATATAATTTTATAAAGATATATTATATTACATATATACAATGAAAAGAATAGTTAATCAAAAAACTATTAGTTTGCTTGCTATCTAAAATCATATAATGTATATATATATATATATATATATATATAATAACAAAAAAAAATAAATAGAACATATTAAGAATTCTTTTTTTTAGTATCGTACAAGTGCTTTTATAGAAATTTCAAAATTGTTAACTGGAAAGTGTGAATTAACGTTTGCTGCAATTCTGAAATTAATTGATGAAGATTTATTTCCTGTAGAAGATCCTAAATGGGCAATGAATGTTACTACAAATATGAAAAACTATTTGATGGTAAGATTTTACTTAATATAATTTTTTTATTAAGTAATTACAAATTATAAATTTTTCTTAAAATATTTATCATTTGAGATTTATTCACAGAATAATTTTTTCGTTAAATGTAAGAAAAAAATAATCATTTCAATAAATATCTAATATATTTAATTGGATATATTAGATATATTATGCAACAATTTATTAGCAATATATAATTATTTATATTATTTGCATTTTCTTTGATTCTTATAAAATTTTATAAGATTTCCTAAAATCTTAAATAAATCATAATTGATAATAAAAAGATATATAAAGATAATAAATTAATCTTAATTTTAATTTTTAAGTTATAAAAGTTTGATATTAATTATTGATTTATAAAGTTATAAAGTTTGATAGTGTTCTTTTATTTTCAGAGTAAATTAGAACATAATGGGATACTATTTTATCCATCTTCACCTTATTCAGCTGGATATCATTATACAGCTTTTTTAAGACCATATAATTTTGGTTATTGGTGTCTTTTCAATGTTTTGAAATTTCCAGTTTGTCAAGTGCCTCTTGGTATTGATAAGAATGGATTACCTATTGGGGTGCAGGTGAAATTTTGAATAATTGATATTATTGAATAATTGAATTTAAAAAAAAGATTTAATTTTACATGTTTACATGTATAGTAAACTTTGGATGCTTGATAATTTAAAAGATAATTTAAAAGATAATCTTATAATTTTTTTGTTTTAGGTCGTAGCAGCTCCCTATAATGATCATCTATGTTTGGCTGTAGCACGAGAATTAGAGAAAGTATTTGGTGGTTGGGTTCCACCATCTTAATTTATTATAAAATCGATGTTAATTCAATTTAATAATTCAATAATAATTTAATATTATAATAGTAATTATTATCAGATATTATTAATATAAGATTTTTTTTATATATTGTTATTATGATACATTATTATATTTGTTAATATATAAATAGAATAATAATGTTAATAGCATATTTTTATTTTATAACTTTATATAAATATAAATATATAAAATATAATAAATATTATTCAAAATAACATTCATATTAAATATAATGTTAATAAAATATTTAATAATTATAGATATAAAATAATTAATGTTATCATTAAATGCATATATGGATATATTAAAAATTAATAATATATATATTATAATAATATTATTATAATATAATATATATTATTATAATATTATTATAATAATATTATAATAATATATATTAATAATATTAATATATATATTAAAAAGCACAATGCATTCAATGCATAGCGAAATATTAAATTATTTAATGCAATACTAATTGTAATTTTTATTATTATATGATTGCTATTATATAAAATAATATATATATATATATATTATTATTATTACAGATGAATTTTAATTGCTAAATTAAAAATTTATTTTTAAATATTTATTTTTAAATAGAAGTTATGAAAATAAACATAGATTTCAATAAAACATTTTATTTCATGTAAGAAGAAATATTATTTATGTTGTAATAACAATATATTTTTTAATATCACATTTTTATCAGAATGTAGACTACCAATACACATATTAAAAAATTGAAAAATATTAGATAAATTATCAATATTATTATATAATGTAAGTATAAAACTATAACGCCATATTAATGGTTCAATATCAATTGAAGATTCAAGTAATAATAAAAATAAATTTTTAGCTTTATTCCAATTTTTTTTATTTATATATGATTTTATTTCAGAGAGAATTCTATGTCTTGAAAAACTTATTGGATATTGTCTTTCACTCTTCTTATAATAATGTATGATTTTACATTGAGTATCAACATTCTGTAATTTTTTTATCTTTTCCATTTTTATCTTTTTTTTCAATCCATTTTTTTTATTTAACCAAAGTATTTCAATAGCTTGATTCTATAAATAATATATTTTTTTATCATCAATAATTTTAAACTTATATTAGAAAACTTTATTGTTACATACCACTTTTGCTTTTTTTATCTTCTGCATTTTATATTTTATTTTTTATTGGTTAATATAATATAATTTATGTAATTTCAATAAAACAAAAAAGTTTTAAAATTTATATTATATATATATATATATATATATATAATAAATAATGCACATATAATTATACTATTTATATATATTTAATTATATTAATGATTAAAATAATTCTTCAAAAATTTGAAGACATTTTTACAACTTCCATGAGCATTTGACAAGTAGAATATAATAAATAATTTTAATATTAGAAATTCATTTAGGATTAAAAATTATACGTATGTAAAATTGAAATGTTTAGGAATTATTTCAACCGTCATAATAATTTTATTCATAGTCCATTCAATCTAATGAAAAAAACAAATATATCATAAAATTATAAGAAAACATAAATAACCAAAATTATTAATTTTTAGTAATTTTAATAATAGATATAAATCAAAGTATTATTACTGAATTTACTTACTTTCATCATGATTTAAAGCTATAATTACAAATAAAATTATTAATATATTAATACGAAATAGTTGCAAGAACACATCAAATACTAGTGATATACTTTTCTAAAACATACATAATCAAAGATTGATGTATAAAAATATGTACATAACAAAAGTTTTTAAAATTAAAATTTATAAAAAGTTATAAAATATATAATAAAAGCAAAAAAAATTTTTCTGTAATTATTAAATTTGCATTGATATATAATTTTTTAAATTTATCTTTTTATAAACCTGTTTAAAAAATAATAAATTCTCAAAATAATATTATTATTCAGTGACATCTAGCATGATTATACATTTTAAGTATTTGTAACTGTTGTGATCTTTCAATTATAGACATATTTCATGGAATAAATATTTTCAAAATTGTAAATTAAATCTTTTAAAAGTTTAATGAGTTTAGATATTAATTTACACGAAATAAATTAAATTTATAGTATTTTTATATTAAATATTTTTTGTGTGTAGATGATTAATTTTCAAAGCATTAAATGTTTATTGTGAATATTGTCTAAATTTTATGATATAGAATCTGCATTGTGGAACATTAAAAACAGTACATGTATCCACACTTCGGTGTGTGTATATTAGATGCTTTGATAACATCTTCAGTACAAAATAACTATAGTTAAAGCTCTCAGTATTATCAATATAAACTAAAAACAATGAGCTTTAACCGATTTTTAATAATAAATGAGTATTTTTTGTATATATGTGCAATAAACTATTTTTTTTTATCTATAGTATTAGGTGAAAGTGAACCAATATATGATGGTAGATTTCAAATGATAATGACATCTATGGTAAGTATTTAATTCAATTATTTTGTATTAAATAATATATATTTACTCATATATTAATATTCATAATATATATTAGAAACCTGAAAATGCAATACCATCACAAACCAAGGATAACCTTGGTTTTCTACATGCATTTGTAGCATCTTTATCTGTCATCGTTGTTTCTGAGTTGGGAGACAAAACTTTCTTTATTGCTGCTATTATGGCAATGAAACATCCAAGATTGACAGTTTTTATAGGAGCAATTAGTGCTTTAGCTTTAATGACTCTTCTTTCAGGTATTATTAAATATACAATTCTTGTAAAATTTTGTACCATACATGCACATATACACATATACACACAGAATAATACATATGCTATATATACATATATTATATATAGAAAAATTCACTTGAAAAATAAACTTAGCATTTGAAAATAATTAAAAAAATTCATGTAAAATATTCTATTTTATTTTGGTTATGAAATATAATAAACTTCTATATTTTGTATATATTAAATTTTATAAGAATTTGTTGGTATTAAATTTAATAATATTATTATGAGCTTTGATTGTAATTAGCAATGTTTCAGTAATTAATATATATAAATTAAAGAAATATTCATGATATATATATATTATATTTATAAAATGTTAAGAAAATTATTTATTATTTTACTTCAAAAAACAAAATATAATATAATATATAAATATAATATATATATTTATATAACATTTTTTTATTTATTTTTAAATGCTGATTTTTTCTGAAATTTTCAAATTTCAAAAATATTTTTTTCAAATATATGAACAAAATAAATGATATAATGATTATTATAAGTGAATATTTCTTAAATAAAATTAAAATAATTAAATAGAATCATTGCAATTTTTGTGATCTTAAAAAATATTTTAGTACATATATTAATATATATATAATAATATTTTTAAATGATATAATAATAAATGATAAAAAAGAATGTATCATATATATTATAATTATAAATATAATACCTATATAAAATAATAGAAAATTTAATAAAAGAAAACAAAATGAAAAAATTTTTAATAAATAAATTTTCTAATTTCTAATGTTATTTGGTTTGAGATGATTTATAATTGATTTATATTGATATTTATTTATAATTATTTATTTTTATATTAAAATTATAACAATTATGTTTTTTTGATCTTTAGTAATTTTTGGATATGCTGCAACTATAATTCCTAGTGTTTATACATATTATATTTCTACTGCACTTTTTGCTTTATTTGGCTTAAAAATGTTACGAGATGGTTATAAAATGTCTGCAACTGAAGGACAAGAGGAATTAGAAGAAGTACAATCAGACTTAAGAAAGCGAGAAGATGAGGTATGAGTATTAAAAATATAAATAGTTTCAAAGAATTTTTCATTAGATTTTATAGTATAAGTGTTTTGAAACTATTCCTTTAACATTTTTGCAGGAATTAAATAATTTTTAAATATCATCACTTTCAGTATGAAAAAGAAACAGGAAGCACTTTAGTACAAGATCCAGAAACTGGTGTTATAAGGAAAGCAACAAAAATTAGTGCACTGATGCTCCTATCTAGGATATTTCTTCAAGCATTTACGTTAACATTTCTTGCAGAATGGGGTGATCGTTCACAACTTACAACTATTATACTTGCAGCAAGAGAGGTTAATGACATTTATATTTAATATTTGACATTGTAATATTTATAATTTTAGAATCATAGAAAAATTTTGGATATATTTATATTTATATTATATTTATATATACTTATATTTATATAAAAAAAAATATAAAAGATGTATAAAAATTTATTATTTTTAGGATGTTTATGGAGTTGTAATAGGTGGAATATTGGGACACTCATTTTGCACAGGATTGGCAGTATTAGGAGGACGAATGATAGCTCAAAAAATTTCAGTGAGAACAGGTAAAATGCTTTTTTTATATTAAAAAAATATATATTATTATTATCAAAAAAATTTTAGAATCATAAAATCTAGATACATATAAATACAAATCATTAAATATTAACATATAATAAAGAAACAAAAAAAAATAATTAAAAATATTTTTATTATTCTTAGTGACCATAATTGGTGGATTGGTATTTCTACTATTTGCTTTAACAGCACTTTTTATTAGTCCTACGGAAGATGTATGAAAATAATATACAGTATTTATGTAGCTATATGTCATGAAATATATTTTGCTATAAGATAATGTACATATTTTTTCTATTTGTGTACAGACTGTTATGAAATAGTAAAAATCATAATGTACACTAAATTTTATTTCTGAAAAGTACTTATGTATATATTTTGTACATTATGTTTAAAATTATATTGATATAAATAATTAATAATGTGAATAAAATTACTGTAAGATTAAATGATACAATATATCAAACATTAAACAACAATGTATAAATATAGTGTAAAAATAATAAGTAATATTGTTATAAGCTATTTTATTGAATATTTTATGTTAGAATATATATACAATCTACTTACATTACATAAATTTTTCAAGAAATTTTTTAAGACATTTATGTTAAATTACTATTATTATTCTTGTTGTTGTTCTATTGTTATTATTATTACTGTTGCTACTATTATTTTTGTTATTATTATTATTATTATTATTTTGCTAATACTATATTATTTTATGTATATTATGAAAAATTAATGTATTAAATCCACATTTATATATTAGGATTATAAATATCGAAAAACATGATTTTTATGTATAATTAAATTTTAATTAATGTCAAACATGTAATATTTCTTTTATATATAAATATAGAATTAACGATATATATTGATGAGTAGATTTATTTTAAAAGAAGTAACGAAATATATAAATCAGCTGTAAAATAATTGTCATTTTCAAATATTGAGAAATACGAGTATTATAACATGTTCGCAATTATTTTAATAGTTTAACGCATAAAATTCTTGCAATTAGCATTATAACATATATGTGTATATCTATTCAGAAAATCAAGAAATGCTACAGATAATGTTGCACTGATAGTGTAACATTACGTACATTAGGTACAATGATTATTCTTCATGATCTATGTACTATTTACTTATTATTGTATTCTATGTATTATTGTTTCTTAATCCAGTTATTTAAGCACTGCAATCCTGTAAAATATAATTTATTTGTTCATAAATAATAAATATACATATATTTATCAATATTTTTTATATAAAATAAAAAAATAATAGAAATATAAAAATATAGAAAAAAAAAATGTAAATCTGAAAATATATATAATCGTTTTAATTTGAATTTTATTTTACGATGCGTAATTTAATAATTTATAAATATATTTATTATATGCAACATACAGAATGTATAAAGATATAAGTTAAAAGATATAAATTTAAAAGTTTATTATAAAAAAATTACTTGATAAATAATTGATTATTAACATCAATAAAGAAATTAAAAGATTTATTTTATTTTTAAAAATATTTTCTATTATTCATATTCATATTTATTCATATTTATAGATTATGTGTGTGTATGTGTATATATATATATATATGTATATTATGTATATATATATATATACATATATATTATATATATATATCTATATATATTATATATATATATCTATATATATTTTTAAATATGCTTTGCTTCATATTTAATTATATATTTATTATTATAATTTCATCATATTACTTTTAGTGATATATTTTAAGTATACTAAACTTTTTAACTCAACAAGAAAAAAATTATATTATAAAATAAAAAATTATTTCTTTATATATATTTTATATATTTTTTATATATATTTTTTTTAATATAAAATCTTTTTTTAACATTATGAATATTTTATCTTATTTTTTTGAAAATTAAAATATTTAAAAATTATAAAATATTTAATAAACTATGTATTATATTATATTATATATAAATTTTATTATCCTTACTTAATTAATATTAAATGAAGTTAATTCATGTTGGATTTGGCTGACCAGTAGTTCTACATTGTGCTTCAGATGCTCGAAATTTTTCGAGCCTATGTAATGGATCCATTAAGCTTTTTTCTTCAGAACCAGTAGATTCCGCTATTTCTACATTACATAATTACATAATACATATAATAATAACAATATATGATAATTTTAATAATAAATGTATATATTTACCTGTAGAGTATTGATTATTAGTTTGTGTTATAAGATTTTGATTTTTTCGTGCTTGATCAATATCTCTTAATCCTTGTTCTATAAAATCTTGGAAAAATTGATGCGATTTTACCAAAAAAGGTTGTACATCCGCCTCAGGATATTGAAGTTTAAAATCATAAAGCTGCATTAAACCCTATATAAAATAATATCAAAATATATAAATAATAAATAAATAATATAAATAAATATTAATATTAAAAATAAAAAAATGTTAACTATTGGATAATATCTAAAATATTGATAATACATACTTCTTGTGTATGTTCTTTTGATCCAATCTTTTTAAATATTTCAGATAACTGCTGATGTGTGAATTTTGATAAATGTTCTTGAGTTTTTCCAGTGCTACTGGATTTTACAATCGATTTGGGATTACTATTAATTTCATCTGGTTTAAATGTCTATTAAACATTATTATAAGAAATTTAAACTTTATTATACTTTTTATAAGATATTAAATCTTATAAATCTTACAATATCTATCTAATAAACTAACCGTAATTAGTCTGATAAGATAGGAATGCAATTCTGATTCATTTGTATTATTTATTCGTGTTAAGTGACTAAGTATTGTACTGCCTTTTACGCGAGTCATACTATGAAGAATTGTTTTAATTGTACGTAATGGAGTATCAGATTTTCGTTTTTTCCACCATATACTTGGATAATCCTGTAAAAAAAATATATTTTTAAATAATTCGATTATCATGAATAGTATTCATAAAATATGTTTATTTTATTCATAAAAAAATATATTTACCTTAAGGAATCGATGTACTTCTAAAAGAATACTGTCATAATCTAAATCTGCAGCCCAATTAGGAATTGTTTTTACTATTTTCCATAAACACTTCATTACTAATTCTTCATATTTGGATGGAGCAACTGATTCAGCACATCCATGAAGTAATTTTATTAATACACTTATTATTAAAGAAATAAAAAAGAATTAATTAATTTTTTAATTAAATTAATTTGAATAAGAAAATATATTTTTAAATATATATCAGTTAAAATATATATCAATTTTAATATTAATAAACAAAATTTTTTAAATTATTACCATATAATAGTAGTATGATTTGAGTTATCTATTATTTTACAAATAATAATATTAACTATGCGAAGATATGAATCTGCTTGATGTAAATGATTTAATTTGTTCTCTGCTAAAAAACTGATCATTTGATCCACAAGTTCTTTTAAATGTATTAATGGAACATTCTTTCCCAAAATTCCAGTATCATAAAACTATAAACACAATAAATATATTTTATATCTTTTGTTATTTAATACTTATTATATAAAATAATTCTTACCGCTAGTAAAACCATAAATGTATTTCTAAAACCTTTAGGTATATCTGTGCCTCCTTGTTGTAAAGGATAAGTTTGTAAAAGTTTTAATTGCATATTTATTGAGCCAATAAATTTATCTTCTTTTGATTGCAAACTCAAAATTTGGTGAGATTTTATCAACTATAAAATAATTAAAGATTATAAATGTGATAATTTATATAAAAATATAAAAAATATAAAAAAATATAAATATAAAAATATATATTTTAAATACGAACATTATCTATGCTATTCATTGATTGTATTGCAACAGCTAAATCTAAACTAGCCATTGCAAGAATTTTACGTTCGAGACTGTCTTCTTTACTTATATTAGTAGTATTCAATTGCTGTTGTGCCATTGATGCAGATTTTGATACTAACAATTTTGGAGGAGATAGAGGAATTACTCTGAAAAAATTTAACATATCAAAATCTAACATTTCTAATAATTTATTTTATTTATCATTTAAAAATAATATTAATTTTTTTAGATTATATCATTTATTTTTATAGTTTTCAACAATAATATGAAATTAATTAATCTTCATTTTTAATATAAAAATACAAAATAATTGCGAATTATATTTTTTATTTTTTTAAAGTAGAAAATGTAAATAATTATAAAAAAAAGTAAATACTTACGGTACTTTATGTAAATTTATTGTGTTGGGATTTTCATCTAAATCTGTTAAATTAATTTCTTGAAGAACAGGATTACAATATTTTACTGGTGCATTTAACTCAATTTTTCGTAAAAAATCCATATCAAGTCCAAATGGACCTGAAACTTTTGGTTGTGTTGATGTTGGAGAATTTCTAAAAATGAAAATTATATAAATGTTATGTAAAATTTTATTAATAATAATATTATTTATTACACATAATTTTAATTTAACATTACTATACTAAATTATCTCATCACCTTAATATTGAACCAATTTCAAACTACAAAATTTAAAACATCAAATGCTATTATTTAAATGAAATTATTTTTATAAAATTAATGAGATCATTATTTTCATAAAATATTAAATTTAAAAAGAAAAAATAAATATATATATATGTAATAATCAATTAAAAAAAAAAATTTACACTACTAAATTAAAAACATAATAGATTAAACATGCATTTTTTTGTTATTTCCAAAATACACCCGCCACCACATAGCATATTGAAAACAAATCACAAGAAGCACAAACGTTTTAGTATCATCTTCATGATGATTTGGAGATGAAATATTTATTTCTGATGATATGTTTGAAAGAGGTTCATTAGTTTCATAAGATTCTGTTGTTATATGTTCTGTTGTTACAATCTCTGTTGCCCTGGAAAATTATTAAAAGCAAATTCATTCAAATAATTTATTCAAATGAATAAAAAAAATAAAATAATTATAAAAAATATATTAAAATTGATATATTTAATATTAGTAATATAATAATGATATTGAAAACAATTAAATGTATAATATAATATATATACAATCTAAAAATTGTAATATATAAAATATATAATTTTATAATAACTATTCATAAAAATTTTAAAGCAAAAATATGTAATATATATATATTAAACTTACAATTCATTTGATTGAGATGGTTCAGAAGGCTGAGGTTCAAGTATTTCTTCTTCGTTTTCTTCTTCAAATTCTACTTTAATGTCTTCATTAGAAGGAATAGGTGTTGCATTTGAAGGTGCAGAAAGTCTATTGGTAGAAGCCGATTTATGAGGTGCTGGATAATTTTTAGCAGCTCTTTTAATACGTTCATCTAATAAAGATTGATCTTTTTCAGATATCTAAAAATCAAAATTAAATCATAAAAAATTATAATTATATACAACAATAAGATAAATATCAGTTAAAAAATGATTACCTGACCAATGAGCTTATATATTCGTTCTCCTTGAAGAAAATATGCTTGAACAATACAATTTAAAGCAGCATTTCTAACAGAATTATCACGATCTGCTATTTGTTTTGCAATTTCTTTTAGTGCTACAGATGTAGATGGTTGACAAACAGATAATCCATAATTTTCAATAAGAGAACCAAGTTGATCTAAACATTCTACAAATATAATTTATTTAGTATTTATTTAGTATTATTTATATTTTTTTTTATTTATTATTTACCTGTTCTTTGTCGAGCATTTTTAGATTTTAAGCCTTCCATTACATAAGAAAATAATTTGCTTACTGGATATACTAATGCTATTTGTTTAAATAATGCACGTACTCCATTACGTACTGCATCTTTTGGATCACCAATCTAAATAAATATTATATATATATAGAGATAAATATGTTAATAAACAAATAATAAAATAATAATATTATCGAAATAATAAAATATGAAATAATTTACTTTAATAATAAGATATGGAATAAATGATGCAGCTTCGTTTTCAAACATATGATATTGGTTTTCTATTAATAAATTAAATACCATTCGTAAATATTCTAAACCTTTTAATAATACTGAAGGATTAGTATCAAAGAATCTCAATGTCAACCATTTAAGTATAAGATCTAAATTCGAAACCAATGCTTTGCTATTATCAGGCAAATCCTAGAATTATATTAAATATTATTACAAATATAAAAAATATTATAATAGAAAGTTTATATTTATAATAATTTAATGAAAGATTTAATATAATAAGTATATAATAAAATATAATAAAATAATTACCTCAGTTAATGCCTCAATTGCCTTAAGATGATATCGAAAATCTGAATGAAACATATTTGCTAATAAAGTTTTATTCACATTTGCAGCAGTCATAAGTTCTTTTAAAAGTTCAACAAATTCTTCCCTCGGTGTTGTAAAGTTCCATTTCAAAACTTTTAATTTTTGTTCATCAATTAATCTTTGATGTTTTAAATTATTAATAGCCAATAAAGGACTAGTATCTATATCATCATCTTTTTTACGAGCACTACTAGGTTTTGATCTTGATTGATTTTGTTTAGGTTTTACTACTGCTTTTGCAGCTTTCAAAGCTCCAGCACTTTTAACAATTTTCTGATTATTTTCTTTTGGTGCTTGTTTTTTCGGCAAAGGTTTGATAGGCAAATTTGGTCGACATTTATCTAATGCAGCAAGTACTACAGTTCGTGATCCTGGTTTTAGCTTTTCTGTATTTCTAGCCATTACTTCATAAGATAGATGAATCATAAATCCTAAAACTGCTTCTTGAGCATTTTTCCGCACATCAGAATTACGATCCTCTAAATTATTGTACAAATATGGAAGACATACAAGAAGTTCTTCTTTTGCTATTTGTTTTACAGGAATCAATGGTAATTTTTGTGCTAACCAATTCCAAACTTCAGCTCTAAGTATTGGAGATCCAGATTTCAAAGCATCTCCAATCATTTCACCATCAAAAAATTCTTTGTAACCACATTGATCTCCCCATGTATTTATGCAAGAAATAGCTGCAGTTCTAATCCAATTTTTATTATCTCCTAAACATTGTACAAAGCCAGGGAAAAGAACTCGAATATGTTGTTTTGCTGAAGAACCCATTGCAACAGCTAAAGCTTGACATATGCCTAAAGTTGATTGAGCTATTTTACTATTGCTATCAACTAAACGTAGTGCCAAACCTTGAGGTAAATCACCAATAGAACTTTTTATAAATTTTGCTTCAGATATAATAGTATTTATTTTTTGTAAACCTTCATTTCGTATCTAATTTAAATAAAAATTATTTAGATTATAAAATAATTATACATTATAAAATATAATATCTACCTTCCAATTTTTATCAGATAATTCATTAAGAAGTCCTTCTGTAATTTGATTACTAATATCAACACGTGGAATAAGATTATTAATATCAATTTCACTGTTACTACTAGATTTTTTATCAATTTCTATATCATCATCATCATCGCTTATTTTATCTTTTTTGTTCTTTATTCCACGAATTGGTATAGGTGGTGTCTCACCATTATGCTAAAATATAATTTACATTATTAAATATAAAATATAAAAATATAATATTATTATTATTATTATAAATATAATATTAATTTAAATAAAATAATATTATATAATATATATTATATATTAGAGCAAATAATAATTTATTATAGATTTACCTTTTCACATTCTTGTTCAATTTGTTGACGCAAAACTGGTTTTTCATTTTCAAAAAATATGAGTAATGGTTTGCCCATAAATAAATATAATATACCTAATAATGTAATTGCTGAAGTTCGAACACCAGGATTTGTTGCTGCAACTGCTTTTTTTATATTTTCCATTAAAGATTTAACATTGATACTAAAACATGCAACATATATATACATTAAATTTTATTACTATATTTTACTCTGTGTGTGTGTGTGTGTATGTTAAATAAATATATTATTTATAAAAAAATATTATATTAAATAAATTATTACTTACACACAACCAAATTCTATGAGACCTCGACATAACAATGCTAATGTTTCTTGTTGAACTTTAGGATTCTTTTGATTAAAAGCAAATGTTATTACTTCATGTGCTACATATTCTAAACTTGTTGCTTCTGCTATAGTTAAAAGAGTTTCACCAGCAACTGCACTGTTTTTTGCATCTCCTAATTTTTCAGTTATATCCATAATACAATATTCACAAATAGTACTATAAAAAAATATAAATATATTCTATGCAGGAAGAATATAATACATAAAGTATAATATATAGAATATATAGAATAAAGAAAACATAATGTATAAATTTTAATAAATATAATAATAATATACAAATTATCTTACGTTGAAAATGGAAAATTTTCTGCCAAAAACTTTACTATTTCTAGTCGTAATTTTAAAACTTGAAAATTTGTATCTTTAAAACCTGGTTTTTTTGCTAAAGTTCGTACAATAACTTGTATAGGTATTTCCGTTGAATCTATTTGTTTTACAAACTAAAACAATATTACATTTCATGTTAATTAATATTTTTTACAAAAGTATAAATCTATTATTAAATAAATTATATAAATATTTCAAGTACCTCTAATAGTTGTTCAACTGCAGCTAATCGAGCTTTCCAATTACTATCAATAAGTCCAGTAAGAATATCACCTGGTAGTAATTGAAGAGCTAGTTCTTCTATCTCTTCAGCACTATAATTTTTTTCTATTTGAATTTTAGTAGCAGATGACTTTTTAGAAATAGCTGAAATAAATAATAAAGATTAAATTATACTTATTAAAATCGTAAACTTTATTTATCATATTTGTTTACCTAAATTAGTTAAAGACGAAGTAGATGGTTTTTTAGAAGGAAGTTTTTTAATTGTATTATTATTAAGTTTTTTTGTAGTTTTTGATTCTGATTCTTTAATTTTTTCTATCGATTCAATTTTATTTGGTGCAGTATTTGGTCTTTCTGTGCTCACTTTTGATGTATTAGGAATTTTAACGTGTATTACAGCTTTTTCTGCACATTCTTTTATCTAACAAAAGAACATAAATATAAAGCAATAAAATTTAAATAAAAAATCTAATTATTTTTTCTATAATTGAAAAATTTGTTATAATAAATTTTCTAAATTAACCTTAGTCATTTTTAAATTATCTATATCCGTAAGAAATGGCATCATAGATTTTTCACCAATTAATTTCATGGCTGTACCAAGGGCCTCTGCAGAACTATCTCGTACAGTTGGATCTAAAATAATTAAATTTAAAAATTATAAATATAAATAAACATTAATGAAATATTGATTTCAAAATATACCTGGTTCATTTAAAGTTTTTAAGAGTACAGCAGTATAAGCTTTTAATAATTTTTTATTTAAAGTTGGTGGTGGTGTGCGAGAGAAACATCTTGCTAAATAAATAGCAGTTTCGGCTTTTACCGCAGGATTTTTGTTTTCCAATGCCGCAAGTGTATCTTCTAATATAACATCAATAGAAACCTAATAGATATATAAAATATATTATTAATCAATCTTACAAGATATTATATATATTATTAATCAATCTTATATAGAATATAAATATGAGACATTTGAATTATAAATATTATACAAATTAAACATTATATATTATACAAATAAAAAACACATATTATACAAATAAAAAATACATTGCATATGAATTAGACAAAACTATTATAAATAAATTTTTAAAACAGTAATAAAATTAAATCTATATAAAATTCGATATATCAGCATCAGACGTTAGATGATATAATACTTATAATGTTTATATTATGTTTTATATTTTTATTGTAATTCTTTAATAAAAACATTTATGGATATTTTGTTGTATGACATTTTAGTTTTATTTAAAATGTATTGTAGAATATTAGAATAAATTTGGATATATTTATACTTACACTAAGAAAAATAGCATCAGCAGCTTCTCTGAGTGCTTGTACAACATTTTGCTTCTTTTCACGAAATTTTTCCAAAATTGATGAAAGACAAGCTATTGCATAAGGTTGAAATCGTTTCTTAAGACCAGCTGCTAATCCTGCCAAACATTTTCCAGCCAATGCAACTACTAATACATTAGTATCTTTGGATATAATCTGTTTATAATATTTAAAAATAAACAAAATAATATTTAATATATTAATAATAATATAATAGTAGTAGAGAGTAATAAAATAGATGCATACTTTTTTCAAAGCTCTTACTAAATCTCCATAATCACCATTTTCCAATTTAGGATGTTTTACCAAAGCATCTAAAACTTCTAAAGCTTCTTTTCGTTCTTGCCATTTTTTAGCTTCAAGTTTTTCATAAAAATCTTTTGGAAGTTTAGAAAGTATATCAATAGGTTCTAACAATTCATAAGGATCAATTTCCGGAACACAACCACCATCACCATCATCTTTGCCTTCTTAAATATAAAAATTTTCAATTAAAAATAGAAATATTAAAATTACATATATAAGATTATAATTTTTAGATTATTTACCTTCACCGATATCACTTGTTGAATCTGTAATACATATTGCTTTTGGTTTTTGCGATTTTAAAAATCGAATAGGTACAACTTTTTCTTCTTTTAAATTATTAAATTCTGCTTCCAATTCTGTAATTTGCACTGGTTTTAATGTATTCAATTGTTGCTTTAAAGGAGCACCTATCCATCTAAATATTGTAAAATAAATGAATTTTTGTTACCACATATTATACAATATATAATAATAAATAAAAATAAATAAAATTAAAATACCTATAAATTTCAACAACCATGAATTTTCCTTCTTCCCTAACAGTTTTATCTCTATCTTCAAGAAAACCAGGTATTTTCTTTATTAAAGGCTTTATATTAATCACTTTTGGTCCAAATTGCCTAAAAAATAAAAAAAAACAAATGGATTATTAGTTATATTGAACTAATTTTTTTCATATGTTACTAATAAAATATATTATTTAAATTACCTTAAAGCCAATGTTAAAGTTGAAATACATGCAGCTACAATTTTTGGATTCTTTGCTTCTGTTCCTTTTAGTAATTCTTCTTGTACAGCTTCATGTTTTTCAATTTCTATATACATCAGTGTTATTTGTACTGCCAATTCTTTTGTTTTGACTTTAGGAGCAGCAATACATTTAGTAACTATTCCATTCATAACTTCCCCCACAGTTCTATAAAATTACGATTTGTATAATTTTATTAAAAGTATCAAAATATATATATTTTAATATACACAAAAATATATTAAAAAGCTTTCTGATATGACATTTTATAAAATAATAGAGAATAAATAGAACAATAAATTATATATTTATGTATATATGTATTTAATTTAAAAATACATACTTTCCTGCTACTGCAGCATTTTCAATGAAAGCTAATGCTGCTTCTAATCCTTTTTCTTGAGCAGCTGCATTGCTATCTATCACAAACTTTTTGATATATCCTAAAAATTTGTTCCACTCTGGAGACTTTTCATCATCAATACATTGGAATGTATTTACACATTCTTTATATCCATGCAAACGTGCTCGCCATAACTATATGTAAATAATATTAATATTAAAAAAATGAATCAAAAAATCTTTATTAAAATTTTTTTAAAATTTTTATTAAAGTAAATATTAAATTATATCAAGAATTACATTACCTTATGCACGCATCTTTCCTCTAATGGTAGTTTAATATATTCTGTATCTTGTTCCATTATTTTAAAATCTACAAAGAGAATATCTACATTTTTTTAATTTTATTTTTTTTTAATCTAATCTTTTAATTTAATTAAATCTATTTTCAATATTTTATAAATACAATTATATATTTTATCAAAAATATTAATAATAAAATTATTTGCAATGAATATTATATAATTTTTTTATAAATAATAATTAATATAATTTTATACAACTTTTAAAGAATATATAGAATATTCAGATTCAATTTTATTTAACTTATGATTGCAGAAATTAGAATAAAATATATATTACACATAATCAATATGTGAAATAGACTTTCAATAGACAATATTTTTAAAAAATAAAATACATTTTATAACTACAGCAATTTCTGTTGATATATAAATATATTTTAGTAAATATTTTATTCTTATTTATAAATACGAAATAGAAAAATAATAATAATAATAATAATTATAATAATAATAATAAATTGAATTACTCAAGTCTTAATATTAACATATAAAATAGAGAAATTAAAAGTTATAATCTTATTTATATATTGATTATATTTTTCGTAAAATATTTAAAATAATTAAATTTTATATATAAAAATTAAAATTATAACTCAAAGATATCGTTTGCTGTAAATAAATTTATTGCACAATAATATATTTTAATTTCAATAATTTATATATTTCATACATAACGAAGAAAATATTAATTTATCTTTATATATCATATTTTATATTAATAAAATAAATCACAAAATATAAGAAATTTTGTTTTTTATAAGAGATATACAACAAAGAGTATTCTTCGTAAGGATTCGTCATTAAAAATTCGGACCTACCTTATAAAACGAAGATATAGGAGAATATCTTTTGACAGAACGTTCTTAGAAAAATGTTGATTCAGTTCATTCGAAATATTCACGTAACCAAACTGTAAGGTCTGTTATGACCTTTCAGTGGCCGTTGAATCGTTTACATTTAATTTTCAAATGTAAGTTCTCTTTACAACCGTCAAGCTAAAAGCAAACAAAAAGACAACTATATCTTTCGAAACTACGAATTTCTGAACCCGGTCAATGTTGCAGTTTGCTACTTTCGTCGATAGATGGTACTAAAAGCCAATTTCTTTTGTTCTTCATCTTATGCTTCATTCTTTTAACCTTGTTTTGCAATATAAAAATTCTTTAATTTCACATATTTTTATCAAATAGTCCTAAATGATCATATATTGAGATTTACAATTTAGTGTTTTTTTCTTTTATTTTTAATTCCATTAAAAAAAATTAAAATATTTTAGTAATATATAATTACAAATATAATATAAATAATAATATTTATTAAATAATATTAAAATTTTTTTAATTGTATATTATATATACAATAATACATTCTTCAAAATATATATGTATTTAATTTTATTTTGCATTATTGACTTGTAAATTCACTCAATATAAAAATAGTTACAATGTTTTTTATTATATATTGTTTTTATTATATTATTATATTATTATATTTTATTCTTACAATTTATAAACATTTAACAATATAAAAATAAACATATAGATTATAAAATCTTGTATTTTAATGCAATTATTATAATAATACTTACCTAAACATTAAATAAAAATTAATTATTAATTATTTTATTCATTCAATTTAATTTGAAATGTTAATATATCATATTAAAAATAAAGATTTTATAAAAATTCTATAGCTAAAATATATTTATACAGTTTTATATATATATATATATATATATATATATATAGTGTTATATATTGTTATATCTAAATATGATTACAAATTTTTGTATGTTTTCATAAATTATTTATAACTTATAATATTGTTAACATAATATTGTTTTATAATTATTTTTAATAATATTATCATTAAATTAATATAAATTTCATATATCATAGAGTGATTGTAAATACATATAATATATATATTGCACATATACGCATGCGCGTTCATACACGTTATTGAATATAATATATATACTTTTATATATACTTTTAAAATATATATGTTTATATTATATCTGTTATAAAAATTAAATCTAATTATATTTCTAATAGCTTAAATTAGATACATATTTATAATTAATAATAATATATAACAATGTTTAAAATATATTGATAATATTAATAAATATTTAAACATTTTCTTATAATTATTTTAATATTTAATTTTTTAATTGTAATTAAATGCAATAATAAATTTTATTTTAATAATATTATATAAAAATTAAAAACGAAATAAATATTATTCAATATATTTATTAAAGTATTAAACACATTATTGAATTATAAATATATATGAAATATGAAATAATAAATTGTTCTAGCACATTATCAATAAAAAAAATTTATGTTAAGTGTAACAATAATTTATTTGAAATATTATACATATTTGAAATATTATATAGTATATTTATAATCTATAATAATACTTATATGATAATAAAAATTTACTTGAATCTATAAAATACAATGACATTCTTTTATGTTGAAACATGTACTATATATATAACATTAAATAAATTAATACATTACTTTCGATTTCAGAATAATTGCTAATTTTTATATAATTAGTACTAATACAAATATATAAAATGAACATATTCTATATTATAAGAAAGCAGTAAAAAGTAGTAAAAAATAATATTCTATGTCATAAACAAATAAAGATAACACATATATATACTTTTATATAAATGTATATAAATGTATATAAATGTTGATATTTTAAGTTTAATAATGCTTTAAGAATCAAATATTTTATACATATGCACATATACTTAGAAACAGGTTTGGAGAATACCAGAAACATATTCATATATTTTTTTAAAAGTTTATTTATCCTAAGAGATATACAAAACAAACATTTCTTTTGTAACTGTTATAATTCCCCTATAATAACACAGAAAATTCTGCCATAATTTTCAATATCTGTTTTATTAATTATCTCCATCAAATGGATATTTTTGTATCAGTACAATTCATTTTAACCAGCTATGTTAAAATTATGCACATCTGCAAATCAGTATTAAAATATTACAATTTCATATTTTACAGTATTCGTCCTCTAGCTCCCTCTAGAACAGGTTCTTATATAATCACATAATTATCCATTATATGACAATGTGCCAGGGGAGATGAAAAGCTTTTATGTCAAAAAGTAGTACTGCTGAGCCAAATCAAGGTGCAAGTCAGTCTGACTGTAAAGAAGCCTCTTGTATATTCATTTTGCATACCAATCTTGGCCACGAAATTTATATTTGCATTATTTAGCCTGTTTTTTTTTTTTTTGGTATGCTTTTTACACAGTTGACTCTAATCTCAATGATTAAGTTCTGTACATACTAGGATCTAGGAATGTTAATATTACAAGAAACCACAATAATTTATTATAATACAGCCTGCTGTACACCAGATGACTCGAGGCAATACAAGACACGCCTTATTTCTTACTTTCTTAAATGATGAACGGAATCACACGATTCTGAAAGGATTTTTAACGTATTTATTTTATTGGAAAATGAATATGAGAGGGAGAATGACGATGGTAAGGGCAGGGACTACTTCAATTTGTTAAAACTCAAAATTCTATTTTAGTTTGTCTTTAACGACTGTCATTAATTTCGATAAGAACAAAAATTCATTATTTCATATGATTATAAAAAAATTGAAATTATATGACTAAGATAACATAAAAGCAAAGTTTTTCATCAATTATATAAAATAAATTGAATTATTTTTATGCTCCACTTTCTTGCGAATAGAAGTTATTCACACTTTATATCTTTTACAATAGTACTTTACAATACCACTGCTCCATGGCTGGGTTATCGTCCCAATTTTGATTTCATAAAGTTGTGAATTAGATATTTTGTTTCGATTTCAATTACTTATAAGCTATAAGGCTCAATCTCATGGTTTAGAATACATTGTTTGTTGAAACTATCACATATTGACGCAGATGTAGAATCGAAGTTGCATAAAATATATACTTATCCTAATACTTACAACTATACGACACATAGTTAAATCAATTACATTCATACAAAGCAGCCCCATGCCCCACCTGCGACATATTTGATTTAAAGAAATCTTCTGTACAAGGATATACAATAAGTCTTCTTACACTGGCAGCGAATGAACTGAACTGATAAAATCGAACTGTTTTCGCCATGAACGAATGATACCGCCCAACTATGGAGCCGCCGTATCCTTATAACTAAGTCAATTTTTAACATAGTTTGGACACAATGTCAACAATGATTGAGCCCCTGCGCCTTCCACCTGATAGAAAGTGGGCACCATATCTTTTCATTCTGCTATCCTACGCCATTTTACATGTTACTATCAATATGTTAAAATACAAATATCATTCATACGATCTTCTCTCACATCTGTCATACATACAATTTTAAAATAATTATTATAATCGCGGGTATTTAATTATTATTGTAAATAATCAGGGACTGGTGATTAGTTATTTGTTTTCCTAGTGGTGTAAGTACGCTCACGCTAAGATCAATGGTACGTACAGTAGGTGAGGTATGCTTTCAGGATCAAGGACACGGGGTGATAGATGAAATTTTGTCGTGCATCCGCTATTCATCATCTTCTTTATACTCTTCTTCACTGTCACTTTTTACAGTATTTGCTGGAACTCCTACTACAGGTGCACCATCTTTCATTTTCTTTTTGTACGCAGTCATTTCCTAAATACAACATATTTATAAATAAATGTTTTAAAATAAATATTTTCAAATGAATAATTTGAAAATATATTATTAATAAAAAAATAAATCAAATATATTATATATACTCTTTCATATCGAGCCTTATCCTTTTCCGCCATAGCCTCATATTTAGATTTGGTTTCAGGATCTGCATCTGACCACTTTTTACCAAGTTCCTTAGCAATATCACCTACACCAAATTCAGGATTTAGCATTTTTACTTTTCCACGTTCATCATTACAGAACCAGAAAAATGCAGATCTATAAGATAAAATATAGTATGATTTTTTAAATTACATTTTTAAATATATTTATTTATTAAATTACATTTTTAAAAATAATTAAAAATAATTAAATATATATATACAAAAAAATATATTACATATATTTAATTTATATAATATTATTAAGAAAAAGAAATTATATTTAAATATTTACTTACAGTGATCTTTTAGGAGCATTATGATCTTTGATGTGTTTGCGCTTTTTGCCTCTGCCTTTACTTTCTCCTTTTGGTGGTGTATAATTTTGCATCTCTGCATCATATCTTTTTTTATCTTTTTCTGCCATTTCATGAAAACGTTTCTTTTCTTTATCTGACATAGTCTATAAACATATAGTAGATATTTAATTATAAATATATGTTATAAATATAAAAATATTTTCTTTTGATTTCAAAATATATATATATAAAGTAATTATATTTATAGCAGTATAAATATTGATCTATAAATCTATTCATTCAATATTTTGAAAATTGTAAATACATCATATATTATATATATATGTAATAATATATAATATCATAATTAACTTTATATATAAAAAACATTAATAAAATATGACATATATACTAAATTTTTTAAATATGATCTTTTTTTTTATTTATATTTATCATAAATTATTATTTAAAAAATATTTAATAAAAATTATCAAATAAAATTCTTTTTTCATTATATTATTATAATTATATATGATATATTATAATCAGATATAATTAGAAAATTATATTATATATTTTTAAATTTTACAATTGATATAATCATTTTAATAAAATAATAAAAGTGTATATCTTTAATTTTGATATATACCATCTGGTCTGTAGTTTAAAAGAATGAAGTACAGAAAGTACTACTCTCTTTTCAAAAGGTAGAATAATTAGATGTTATAAAAATACCTGTTCAAAATGACTTTTCATATTTGTGGAATTTATGAATAAAAAATACGTTTCTTTTTTTACTATAAATTTTGCAATATATATCTATACATGCGTTTTTATAAATTTTTATCAACAATTAGTTAATA